GTGATTTAGTGAAAGAAAAACGCCAGTTATTTCTTACTGAAAAATTCAATGGAACTATAATGGACCAGGAAAAAAAATCAATCTTTTCCTTTATCTGGTTGTCTGTCTGCCTTTTTTTTTAAACCAGGAATGTATTTGAAGAGAGAAATGCAATATCTATGTACAAAACCGGGTGAGATGTTGGATGGGTGCTGGTTCCAGAAGTCATGCCATTGTCTCCTGCAGGAGTATTCCATGCACTCAGGAAGAACACAGTACTCCCTTGAGCTTTCATAAGTAGCCCCATTTAAAAAATTGGGATGTATGAAGCCAACAGGTAGAATTTCCTGCCCCAGTGTTAACCCAAATTAATGCAGTCATGCTTAACCACTTCTTACAAGAACATCCAAAGTGGGGATTTTTGGAGTAAGGCAAATCAGCTTGCTTGGACATTGGGTGGGTGGAGGGGTGGGCATGTATGTGCGCACTACATTGCTCTAAGATGTGTATGTGCGTTCTCTTCTTAATGAATGAGATGCCTCTCTTTGTCTAACCTGGGGGCTACTCTTTGACTCCTCCTTCTCTCCCTGTGCCCTTTGTGTTCTCTCTCTCTTTTCTGTTGGACTTGCAAGCAGCTGGACACATCTACAGGTGTTCCCTGTACAGCCATGCCATCCTACCTGCACACATGTGATGCCAGATCAGCTGGTCATTTGTAACAGGGAATAGTATTTTTTAGATTAGGCTTCTTCGCTTTCCTTTTTTCCACTGCGACATGGATGCGGACTGAAATCTACCTCCGTAAATGTGAGCTTTCCTTTTTTGGCAATGCACTGGCTTGAAGTTTATTTATACCACACTTCTATGACTGCGCAACTTTGCTAACAGATATCCCTAAGAGAACAACAAGAGTTGAGTCCAAGTAGCACCTTAGAGACCAGCAAGAGTTTCAGGGTAGAAGCTTCCAAGAGTCAAAAGCTTCTTTTGCCAGATCTGGTTAGTTTCTTAAGGTGCTGCTGGACTCTCATCTAGTTGCTCTACTCCAGACCCAACATGGCTACCCTCTGAACATATCCCCAGTAGGAATAAGATCAGCACTTGGGAGGAGAGAGAACTGGAGACACAGGACACCTTTACAGCATATCTACAGACAGACCATATGGGAAGTGAAGAGATATCCTACAACAGTCAGCCGGTCTTGGAACAGATTCTCAGAGCATGCTGCTGCCCCCCCACAGAAAGACCCCCGCCTTTAGCAACCTCACCACTCCTAACTCTGCCTCCCCATTCCAAAGTACAGATCAGGCTCCTCTGCCCCATCCCTCGGGTCTCAGTTCATGAATGCTGCATCAAAAGCCATCAAGGAGAACATCCCACAATGAACAGTAAAGGTTTCCCTTGCTCGAAAGCTAGTCAAATCTGACTCTAGGGGGCGGTGCTCATCTCCGTTTCCAAGCCAAATACCAGTGCTGTCTGAAGCCATTTCCGCGGTCATATGGCCAGCATGACTAAACACCAAGGCACACGGAACACTGTTACCTTCCCACCTTATTTATCTACTTGCAATTTCTTGCTTTCAAACTGCTAGGTTGGCAGGAGCTGGGACCAGAGACGGGAACTCAGTCCGTCACGCGGCACTCGGGTCTCGAACTGCCGAACTACCGACCTTCCAGTCTGCAGTTCAGTGTCTCAACCACTTGAGCCACCGCAGCCCCTCCCACAATGAATAAGGACCAGTAATCCAGCCTTTGGTTCAATTCCTGAGCCATTAATTCGTAGTGATCAAGATCAGCCGTTTCAACTCCATTCTCTGCTGGGTATGAAATTATCCATTCCACAAAGGATGGAGGCCACCTGCTTTTTCTCCCCATATTTACACAATTTATTTTATTTATTCTAAGCGTTTACATCTATTTGAGCCCTCCCTGCCCGGCCACCCCCCAAAATGAACAAAACGCCATTCACAATTAACAAGAAAAAAGGAAGCCCCCAAACGAGGCATGGAAGCAGCTCCCCACTTGTCACTTAAAACTGCACTGAAATCCAAGGTAGATGGCGACTTACCTCTAGGAAGGTCACAACCGCTAGGGTCACAGGAGTAAGGAGGAGTAACACCTCCACTGTCCCCCACATCGCTGGCGGGAGGAAGGGGGCCCGACTGATACGGGTACGGCACCGAAGAAATCACAACTATTGAAGAAAGCCAGACAAGGACTGAGTCAGGATCACAGTGCAGTGAAGCCAACAAAGCAAAACCCAGCCTCTTCACACAGAATGTGTTGCCCGCAGTGACAAGAAATGCTTAGGTCTGACAATTTAGGGTTGCCAGCTCTAAGGGTGGAAATTCCTGGAGGTTTTGGGGGTGGAGCCCGGGGGGGCGGGGTTTGGGAGCAGGAATAACTGCAGCAGGGTATAATGGCCATTGGATTTCACCCTCCATATCAGTTATTTTTCTCCAGGGTTAGAATTGCTGTAGTCTGGAGCTCAACTGTAATTCCAGGAGATTTCCAGGGCCCACCTGGAGACTGGCAAAACTATCTGTCAAGCTGGTTGAGGGGAGATTTCCAGCCTTCCCCCCACCCCCAGCTTTACTCACACCCACTCTTCAAGCAGAGAAGCTGCACTGACCAAACCTCTGGCTCCAACACGGGCAGCGATGAACCAATCTCCCACCCCCACCCAGCATTCAGGCCATCGCAATGGGCAGAACCAGAGCAGTTCTACAAGCCTGCCCCTTCCCCCTGATTAGAAAACCTACACAGCCTCCCGCCCCCAAAGGAGCAAGAAACTGTTCCTCTCCCCTTCAGTCAGATGCTGTGTCCAAGATGGCGCCAGATCAGTCTGCACAGACTCCAGTGACTCACATGCCCTTTTGGTAAAAAGAAGACTGCAGGCAGCCAACGGCTTCCCGTAAAATGAAGCGCGCTAACCTTTTGGTCTCAAAATGAAAGTGGCTGCCATGTGGTCCAGGTCAAGGGGCTGGGTCCACAGTATGTCTTGGCACACAACTGAGAGCAGCCGCCGGGGGAGCCCGCTGGGTGCCACGGTCAAAGCAGCACCGGCCGGATCGCCTGCTGCAGAAGGAGCTGAGGCCGGGATGGGAGAGAGGCAGACTCCGCACTCTGCCACTTCCTCCCCTTCCACAGCTGAAATACTGCTCTACTGTCCTTGCCGCACTAGACCTTCAGTCCTTGTTCAACCCTGCCCCCGGACTTGCATCTGGTCACCCTGGTTTCGCCCCACACTTGTCCCGGGATAAGCGGATGCTGTCATAACCAATGTTCCCTCTAAGCTGTGGAGTCCTGTGAGCAAAAATTCTACTTTGTGAGCTCCTGGCATGAAAGTTGTGAGCAAGCGATTTGGCTACTGCATAAATTAGTTTTCTCTGGAGCCATCCTGCCTGAGCCAGGACAAAAATGTGTGAGCCGGAGGCTATAAAACGGTGAGCTAGCTCACACTAACTCAGCTTAGAGGGAACACTGGTCATAACCAAGGATCAAGTGTCCCGAGTTGAACTCTGATATAACCACGGATGAGATCCAAGTGCGGAAAGGACCTTTCTCACCCACCTGAACGACCTTCAGATGATGGGGGTAGGAGAAAAACACATCATTCCCCCAAATGAGGCTGCTGCCCAGGGGGAGGGGGGGGAGCTGAGCTACTGGATTGCAAGCGGGATTCTTCCCAT